AGAAAATTTTGAGAACACTCTGCCTTTTGCCCTTGAAGGACGCAAGCACTGTCACTTTCCCAAACAAACAGAAAGGAAAATTCAAGCTCATTAAAACCTTGAACGTATTTCTAACATGCGTTGATTTGAGAGTGAAAGCAGTATGAATGTGCTCCATCTTTATATCTCTCACAGCACTAGTCTTGTGACTCATGGAGATTCCAAATTAATATAAATGCATATCTTTAGCATCTCACCACTTCAGAAAGTTTCCAACCTTTAAAATGCACAAATATATAACACAAGTATCTTTTGGAAGATAGATTGTTGCTTAATTTTTCTTCCTCATCTTTGATCTCATTCACTTTATTCTTGGGAGTTTGCACAACCTTCATATGATGAAGTAATGCCCTGAACTCAGGCTCTAGTGAAAAAGGATCAGTAGTCACAAAACATAAAGCTGGGTTTGCCGATATGCTGTTATTTAGGGATCAGTGGACAATGACAAATGTTTTCAGAATAATTTTAATATTAGTTTATATTAACAGTAAGTGAATTTGCAAAACAATCTATGCTTTAGAGCAGAATAAAAGGCTTTTTTTTAGTTAATACATCTGTTTTTACAATATTTAAAAAATACTAAAATGCAGATACAAAATATCCTCCCTCTTAAAGAAAATCAAATCTTATTTAAACAATAACTTACTAGATTCCCTTGCATCATTATAGAAATTTTAGGTAACTAGTATCACTAGTATTAGATAAAATTATTTAAATTAACTTATACTGGTGCTTGGCCAACTGTGGCTCACGATCCACATGCGGCTCTTTGGCCCCTTGCGTGTGGCTCTTCCACAAAATACCACATGCAGGCACGCACGGTCAGTGCAACTGAAACTTCATGGCCCATGCGCAGAAGTCTATTTTTGGCTCTCAAAAGAAATTTCAATCCTTCTACTGTTGATATCTGGCTCTGTTGTCTAATGAATTTGCGGATCACTGACTTATACCAATCACTTGCTTTTCTAGCTTATAATTCATCTAGGTTAATTCAATTGGCATTTATACAATTTATTTTAGACACTAAATAGCAGGGGTTTTTTTCTCTAATGATTCTCAGAATTTCTTGCTAACCTATGGGACATTTTTACAACTGACTAGAAAGTATTGGTTTTTGGTCAGTCGTGAGTTTATGTGCAAATTCTCTGCACCACATTTAGTTTCGCTCCTTGAGTGGCAGTTGACTGAAGCCACCGGACTGGCTGGAATAACTGGAGAGGACTGAGAGATGGCAGGTAGAGCTGCAAGTGAAAGACAAACACATGATGTTGCTGTGTCCAGACGAACAATTGATGGAGGTGACGTTTCTTGTTTCCTTTGCTCAACAACTGCTAGAAACCATGTTCTCTCTTAGACACACAAATATTTCAGTTAACTGACCTAGGCATTTTGGGTTCCTTGATGTGAGCGTTTTGCTATTTTGAACCAAAGACTCTGATCTTACTTTTACGTTTAAAAAAAAAATGGGTTTTATAGTCAACTGGGTTTTATATATCTTACATATTTTTTTAGTCACAAATTGTAAGGTAATCACCTTTAACTATGTACTTTGTCACATAGAATTACCCTAGTTTTCTTATGTATCCATGCTCATATAATAATGACATTTAATACTTCACATTTATGTAAATTTATTGAGATAAGGTCTTTGGGTGAGTGGTTATGTTTTAAATGCTGATCTATTCATGGTTTGTAATTGCCTACTGTCAGTTGGTGAGGATAGATCTAGTGTGCAAGAGGAAGGAGTGGTGAGATAGGATTGAATATAAGTTCCTTCTAACGCCATGGAAAAGCGCTTAACTTTTGTGCTAGAAGTGATGGATATCCATCAAAGGGCCAAAGCAGGAAAGGGATGTGATTAGATATGCACTTTAAGAAGATCATTCTTTTTTTTAATTAATTTATTTATTTTTACATATTTTATTAATTTTTTTTGCCCCCCTCCCTCCTTCCTATACATCCCCTCCCTCCCCAGAGTTTTGTGTCCATTGGTTGTACTTATATGCATGTATACAAGTCCTTCGGTTGATCTATTATCTCCTCCAGAAGGAAGATCATTCTTAAAACTGTAGAGAGTGTTTCAGTGGAGAGTGAAACCCAGTGGCCTGCTAGTAGACCAGTTTGCAGGTTTTTGCAGTAATCCTAGCAAGTAATAAGAAGGTTTTTTTTGTTTTGTTTTGTTTTGTTTTGTTTTTTGTGGGGGGGAAGGCAATGGTAATGGAGATTGAAATGAGTGTATATAAAAAAAAATAGGAGGAAGGAGAATCTACAGAATTTGGCTATGAAAATTGAGAAATAGGGGACAAAGATGAATGCCAGTTGTAATGCTTAATTGTGTGTTCAATGGGAATGAGAGCATGAATTTTGGTTAGACCTTGGAATGCCAGAGTAATTATTAATGAGGCCCCTTTACTTTCCAAATAGACCTGGTTTAGATGATAAATGATGTGGCCACCCTCAGGAGAAAAATAGTTTGGTACTAAAGAAACACCACTTATTTAAGATAAGGGTCTCCAGAGAGAAATATCCAATAAACAAATAGAATTATGGCTATGGAGCTCAGGAGAGAAACATTGAAATTGAGATGTGGATTTGAGCATGATCAGATGGAGATGAAAGGACAGAGATAGTATGTGAAAATGTGGAGGGGAAAGGGCTCAAGATGGAACTTCCAGAAACACTAAAGTTGGAAAGGAGGATGAACCTACAAAGGAGATTAGGAAGTACTTGCCAGAGAGAGAGAGAGAGAGAGAGAGAGAGAGAGAGAGAGAGAGAGAGAGAGAGAGAGAGAGGAGAAAAATTAGGAGGAAAGCCAAGGAAATCAAGTAATAAGGACAATTTTTTTTTTTTTTAAAAAGGAGAATTTCAGAAAGGAGTGAATAGGCAACAGTGTCAAATACAAGTAAAATAAGAACCAATATATACTATTGGATTTAGTACTTTGAAAGCAATTGACCTCAACAAGGGCAAACTCAGTGGAATGATGGATATAATAACAAATTACTTTTTTTAAATATATTTTATTGATTTTTTCACAGAGAGGAAGAGAGAGGGATAGAGAGTTAGAAACATCGATGAGAGAGAATCATCGATCAGCTGCCTCCTGCACACCCCCTATTGGGAATGTGCCCACAACCAAGGTACATGCCCTTGCCCGGAATCGAACCAGGGACCTTTCAGTCTGCAGGCCGATGCTCTATCCACTGAGCCAAACTGGTCCCGGCAACAAATTACTTGTAGGTGGAGGAAGGCAAGCAATAATGTATGACAGGTGGTGCAGCAGCTTAAGGAAAGCATGAGCTTTGAAGGTAGATAAACTATTTCACATCTCCACAAACTCTTACTAGTTATGTGACTTTGGGCAGGTTGTCTAACTTGAACCTTTCTCACTTTCATTCATTCCATTCAATATTTATTCACCAAAGATTTATAGTGCACATAATATATGACAGGAACTGTACTAAGAACCAGCTAACCATGAAAAACTTATGTCCTTGACATGGGCATACCTTTTTTTTTTTTTTTTAATATAATACCAGGAGTGCTGTTACAGATATATGAGCAGTGCATTTTGCTTTCTGGTTATAAGCTCCATTAACAATAATAAAAACATTTAATTTCTTTCTGAATGCCAAGCACTGTGTTAAAGGCTGCATATGAATTATTTCACTTTGTCCATTTAGCACATCACATGAAAGCAATATGAGAGGAGTACTATTTTTAGTTTCAACACGAAGATAAGTAAACCAAGGCTCAGGAGGTTTAGGAATTGTCAAATGTCACCCTAGTAAGTGTAAGAAGTGAATAGAGCCCAGGGAAACTGATTTCAAAATGAGCATTTTAAATTAATGTACTGCCTTCCATCAGTAGCCAGATTGTTTCCATTTTATTCATCATTGTATCTCCAGAACCTATTTATCTCCTGGCCTAATACAGTTCCTTACAACTACTAATAAATATTTGTGATAGGAAGGAGGGAAGAAAGAGAAACAAAGGAAAGGAGAGGGAAGACAAAGATAAAGGAAGGAAGGAGTAAAGGGAAGGAAGGAGTGACAGAAGAAGGAATCTTACAGGAAATAAGGCAGTCATGCCAGCGTGGCTCAGTGGTTGAGCATCAGCCTATGAACCAGGGGGTCACAGGTGGATTCCTAGTCAGGGCACAGGCCCAGATTGTGGTCTCGATTCTCAGTGAAGGGCATGTAAGAGGCAGCCAATTCATGGTTATTTCTCATAATTAATATTTCTATCTCTCTCTTTTCCTTCCTCTCTGAAATCAATAAAAATATATTTTAAAGAAGAAACAAGGGAATGGAGTGATAAGGACAGCCTAGGAGTTAGAGAATGTTACCAAGGAGATGATACACGAGCTTGACTGAACATGTAATCATTTGCTAAACCATGTAAGAGAACAAAAGATACTCTCCATCAGCTTGCCAACGCAGCATCTTTCACTCCCATCAGCCTCTAAGGATAGGCTTAGTGTTCTCTAATCCTTCAAAGTACCTAATCTTTAACCCCATGACTGAGAGACTCAACATTATTGATCACCACTTTCTATCTGAATACCTTGTCCTAAACAACCACTAACCTTACTGATAACTCTGAACTTCTTCTGACCCTTATGTTTGCCAATTATATAAAATATCAAAATCTAATGTCCATTTTCTTAGGACATCTTGTGGCACTTTTTATCCAGACAATAAGTTTTGACTAAAAGGAATCACTCTAAACAAAAGGCCACCAGAAATATTAAGCATCAACAAATAATAGACCTCTTCCTCCATGATCTCTTCTCATTCTCTCTTTTTAAACCTTTCTTCCAGTTGCCATAATTATGAGACAAGGACAAAACTCCTAATTGCTTTAAAAAGTAAACCACCTTCTTTCCATATGCTCCTGCTGTTCTTTCAAATCTTTGAGAATTTGTCATTTCTTATCTGCTATGGGTGAATAATGCCAAGAGTCATGAAAGCAAAAACACAATAACAAAACAAAACAAAAAACAAGGTCTTTGATGTTCAGAAGGATGTCCTTAAACTTGCCAATATTGCTTAAGCAGAATATTAAAAATGTCTGCTCATTTGTTTTTTTAATTGTTTGGAAAAATCACCTTCCTTGTTCACTCTTCTTATGTTTTATATAGACACAGCCGAAATCAACCACCAATCCTTTCTAAAGCCTGATCTTTTTAAAAAAAATCCTGAATACATTCTGTTTCCTATGACTGCTACCTAGATTGTTTTAGCGTGGCTTTTATTAATGTGTTTTCATGTGGAGCCTAGAATACAGCCTTGTAGTCTCATGTATACATGCCCTTTTTTGATAATCCAAATGAAGTAACAAAGAACCCAAGTTCTAAGCAAAAGTTTTGCTGAAACTCAACCCAATGATTGATCACATCTTCAAGGAAGATGGTAGAAAATTGGTAAGTTCATTTAGTCTCTATCCCAAAATCTTGTTTCATTTCAACCCATATTCCAAAATACTCAATTCTTAATTATTTTCTTGCTTTTGTGTAACACCAAACAACATGTATCCTGGTATCTTACTGATTCTTCATCAAACAACACAAAATCCATGCAGATTGAACATGGAGAGAACTAGCATTGATTGGAAGAAACTTTTACTGACTTTTACTGCAGATTGAATTTTGTCCTCCCAAACACCTGGCAAAGGTAATGTCTCCGTTTCACTAAGTACTCCTTAATTTAGAATTACAAAGGCAATTAGCTCTCTAATGAGTTGGAGCATCTGGGGTGAAAGAGTAGGGAAAATACTGAACACCAGATGATGTCTGTTAATGTCAAAAAAAAGAAAAAAAGAAAGAAAGTGACTTATTCTTGGTGGAAAAAAAATCTCTCAGATTGATGATTTAAATCTCTTTCTCTCCCTCCCCCCCAAAAGTAAAGTATGTAGAACTTATTGTGTGGTATATATGGGGGGAAATCTAATTTGACCCATTAAATGTAAAGATTGGCAATCATGAGCACATGGGTCTCTGCCCTATGTTATTGATTGAATATATCAGTAGATTTTACATTTGGAAACTTGTGAATCATTGCTGAGGTTCCTAAAAAGGGAGGGTGAATGGGGGAAAATATAGTTCTTAGCTTTATAAAAACAGTACATTAAAAATAGAAAATATCCTGCACAAGATTCAAAGTAGGCAGGCATTGAAAAGCTGAGCTATAAAAGTGACAGCTGCAAGGTTATTCACTACACTGAGAAAATTAAAATAACATCAAAATTATTGTGGAAGGTCGGCTATATTAGTGCTGCGCATGGAAAAGAAGATCTTTGGGAACCAGAGTTCTTAGCATTGGAACTAGTGTATAGCCAGTGCTCAGTAAATGTTAATTGAATCTCAAGCCCAATTTAAAAATGACCCATGTCGTTAAAACGGCTGCGATAGTAACCATTTCACCCAGTCCATACAGTGAGGCATTATAAAGATAACCGGGGCTGGAACTTGAATCTCACTCTGAAACCAGCTGAATAACCATAGGCAAGTCATATTACCTCATCTGGATTATTCGTTTTTTAAATGCGGATAAAACTATGTAATTTGCAGGTTGAATAGGAAAATGAAAAGAGATTTCAAATGGAAGAAGGGTTCTCAGTACATGGTAGATATTGTTGTTGGTACTTTTAAGTAGAGGAAGGCTTTTTGTTTCCCTAATCTTTCAGATTTAAGGAGATGAATCACTGTTCTTCATGATATGTAAGGACAGGAAAATGGTCTGCATTTATCCAGAAGGTGATTGTATCTTATTATTCATTGGCCAAATAGTCAATAATTTTCTGATTGTTTTGCTCATCTTGTTCAATTACAATTTGACAATACATTCTAAAATTACTGGGAACCTTATGACTCCCTCTCCTTTCCCAGGGTCAAACTGGCCTGTTGGTAGGCATCATTGTGTTCACTGCTAGTGTCCTGTCATCAGGATAAATAAACTATGAAACCACTATCACGGCCATCTCGGTATAGTCGGTTAACTGAGCCAATGAAATCTTGTATCACTTTCCTGAAGCAGATGGCTTATAATAGCATGTACTTATATGCACTGAACATTCCATTGTAAAGGCATCTGTCCTTGAACAAGAACTAACTTAGTGTGCAAGGGAATTTCCCATATGTGACATAACACTGAAGAGCTTCAAGTTCACCAAAAGGAAAAGACTTGGTAAAAAAAGGTTAATTACACAATTTATATTTTATTCTAGAAAGGATGTGTAGATGAGGCTATAACAGAGAGGGCAGGGTCCTAAGAGCACTGCTTTCATGTCCATGATAATCATCACTAACTGCATGTCTAATAGTCACCAGCTTAATGTCACATAAAGTGAGCACCAAATATTTAGTTGATTTACATCATAGTATTCACTATTTTTAACACATAAATATGCACTCAATGAATGCTTAGACAGGACTTTGCCATACCTGGTAATAAGTCAGGCAAAATTTAAAGAGTAGGAAGGCTTTAAGAACTCATCAAGGACTCTAAAGGATTGGGAAGTACTTATGAAACAAATATTTTTATTTTTTAATTGAAACTAAATAGGATGAATGGTTTTCAAGTTCCTCTAGAATTATGTCTTAGATTGTAAAACGTTCTAGGTCAAAAAGTATAAAATTTCAAGCAAAGGGAATTTAAGTTAATCACTTAAGTTAATTATATCAAAATGCCAGCTTTCTCACTTCTCAGCCTTCTGATTTGGTTAATTTAAGTGTTTATTAATCACAGAACTGTGGAATGAAACAAGTCTGTGTGAATTACATGTTTTGTTCAGGAGGTTATTGGTTCATAATTACTTCTTTTGTGCTAACTGAAGAAATACAACTGTTATTAGTAAACTTCACTTGAAATACTTAATCACTGTTTCAAAGACTTTTTTATCACCTGATCTATATGTATCAGTACATCAAAGCTCACATATTTGTCTCACAATCTCAGCTCACTGACTATTTAGTCAAGCTAATAAGCAGCATCGATCATACCCCAATGCACAAGATAGTCTGCATTACAGATGCTCTCCCTGTAATCCATCCATTATATGGAGCATCTGTTACAAATTATCCGACCTCCAGGACTGCTCATTTAAGTGCTTTTTCAAGAGCCTACTGTCTTCATTTCTCCAAATGAGTTAGATGGTGGCATCGGGACTGTACCAAGTTCACTGTCACCATGTGACAGCAGTCATCTATTAGTCTGTGCTAAGCTCTAACGGTACATTGCGTAATGGTAAATGTCTTACAATTTTAAAGCCAAAATCCTCAGAGTATAAGCAGGAGCCATTAAGAAAACACTAAGACAGTTATTTTTCTATTATATCTCATCCACTGGCCAAAAAGTTAAGCACATTGTAATACTCATTTTTAAGTCCTTAGGGGACTATTGACTTGCTCTGTTACTTAATACATGAAATTAATGACCCCAGATACATGTTTGTCAATTTCTGTTCATTTCTATAACTGTGAAATATGTCCCTTGTCTCAAATAGATATCTTGTAGAACATGTTGTTGGTATCAATGAAAATCATAAAAGAAAATCTAAATAAATGAAAATAAGTACAAATTTATACCTTAGAAAAGACATATTAAAGGAACTTTCTACTTACAATGTAATCCACAGTATTGTCTAGAGTGTACCTATCTTAAAGAGAATAGCTTTATAAACATGTTGCCCTAATGTGTCATTGGAAATACTAATTACAAATTCACTTCATGGTATATTTGGGAAAAGAAGTCACAGAGATAGCTATAAATTATTCATAAATGAATAGTGAGACTGAACAAATTTAAAAGTCCATGTAGTCATTATTTTCTTGATCTTAATTTGCATTGCAGAATTGTAATTAGTCATACACAATAAATCCAATATTGAATTTATAGAAAGCTTTGTAGAAACATGGTACCTTTCATATTTTAGGTTGCCATATGGTATTTTCCTAACAGATTTCTTTAACTCATCTGTTTTTAGAGTTTTTGTAATACTAGCTTAATAAATTAATTTCAGGATAGCATCTGGGTTGCTTGAGTTTTTCAATAAACAAGCTGATTATTTTAAATTATTCTTGCCAGTTGTACCATATACCCTCAAATATCTACTTTCCATTTCAGAAAGATCACCTTCGATGGATGGACAGTATTTCTTTCATATTGGAATACATACAGAATGTACAACTTCAACTCATTTTGTAATATTACATTAAACATTTATGCCTATTAAACTACCTTGAATCTTTGGTAATTTATCTTTCGCCTGAAGTTTGTGATACTTGATTAGAAGTGTTTATATTTTCCTAAACAAAGAACACAAGAATTTTTTAAATAAATATCTTAAACACAGCGATGTAATTGGTAATTAAATACTTCAGCCAAAAGTAGCACAAGTCATTTTAGTTCACAACTCTGGTCTGGTCACATTATACCATTTAACCCAAAAGAATCAGAGTTCCAATGACAACTACATATTCACAGATTATATCTGTCACTGGTGTGGGAAAGAGGTGATATCATTTTGGTTTTGCTTACAACAGAAGTAGATGATCATGATACTCCCAAAAGACTGATATGCAAAGCATCCTCTGAAATGATCGCTGTCATTGAAACTACATTGACAACATCTATCAACCAACAACAGGACAATAAAACAACATTGGAATAGTGGTTCAGTCAATCACTATAATTTACCTTTGCTACCAAAACCTATTGCAATGAAAAATACCCATAAACTTTTAAATTTAAATAGCTTTTCCCCACAATCTTCTTACAGCCCCTGAGGGTTTCCATCACACTTTTGGTTTATGGTTTTTAAATGGCTTCTTTCCTTTGACTTTCCCATAGTCATTCAATGGTTCCCCATCACACCTACAATAAAATCACAATGTATTACCATTGATTTCAAATCCCTCTCTTATCTGACACCCATTGGCCTTCCCAATAGTATCACCTACTATGGTCTTCCTTCACTTTGTCAACCACCCCAGAATCTGCAAATATGCCAACACTTAGGAAGTTTTTTATTGATGTTTTAGGCATAATATTTATTTGGCTGGATGGCTCCTTCTTATTTATTTCTCAGTTCTCTAATGTTTCCTGCCTCTCCTCCACCAATTTCACTCCACTTTATTTTCTTTACTGCATTTATTACTATCTGAAATTATATCATTCATTGACTGTCTTTTCTCTAGAACGTAAAACTCATAAGGACAGATACCTTCCTTATCATGTTTATTGCCTATCCCAGAGTCTTACACACAGTATCTATTTCCTCAATATTGTTGAAGAAATTTAAATGTATGAATGAATATATAATTCTTTCCCCCAAAGAAAGTAATTATATTTTTATAAATGAAGTAAATGGAAAGATTGGGTAGCAACTGAATAATAATCATAGGCATTTAATATTAAATACATTGTCATGTGATATAACATGTAAATAAGAGAGCAGGCACAGTGGAGTATGAAGGAAAACTATTTGGGTATGGTGTGGTGGGAAATGAATTTCAGAAGCTTCCTACAGCTGCAATCACAAAACGATTCTTTGTAGCATGGGCATTTCTATCTCTATAAATGTCCACATTACATGCCATTGAGTGGGTTCCAGCTCCTGGCAACTCTATGAATAAGTGATGTCCACAATGTCCTGTCTTCAACAGCCCTACTCAGCTCCTAAAGACTCATCTATATGGCTTTTATGGAGCCAATCCATCTAATATGTGGTCCTCCTCTTTTTTTGCTGCCTTCTATTTTCCCAGCATTATTGTCTTTTCCAAAGAACCCTGTCTTCCCAGGATGTGCCCAAAGTGGGACAGCTTCAGTTTGTCATTTTTAGCTCTGTCAATGATTATAGCTTAATTTGCTCTAGGACTCATTTGTTCATCTTCTGTCTGTAGGGTAACTGTAGTGCTTTCCTTCAATACCACATTTCAAATGAATCATTATTTTTTCTTATCAGCCTTCTTCACTTTCTTTTTCATTTGTATATAGTAATTGGGAATGCAAGGTTGCAGATGATCTTAGCCTTGGCCTTTAATTACTTATCTTTGCTCTTGGTGATCCTTCCAATTCTTCTATTGCTTCCCTTCCAATTCCCACCCTTCTCTTGATTTCTTGGCTGTAGTCTCAATTTGAATTGATGACTGAAGCAAGGTAAGCAAAATCTTTAACAATTTCAGTGACTTCTTTGTCTATGCTAAACTTGTCCATTTTTTCTGTAGTAGAAGGGGTAAGTGGGTAAGATGCTTCAAGCTACAGGGGCTGAATCTGTCAAAATCCTAACAAGAATATTTCAATAAATATGGAAAAAAAGTTAATGGCCTACAGACTGTAAATGTATAAAAACATCCCAATCTTCACTAAAGGAAATGCCAAGGAGGGCAGTAATTGTAGGACCATATCTGTAATTGCATACTCAAATAAAGTGGTGCAGAAATACCAAGTATTCAAGCTGTATTCAGAAAAAGAAGAAACACTTGAAATCTAATTGTGAGCATTCTTTGGATATTGGAGAGCTCCAAAGAATTTCAGAAGAAGGTTAGCTATGTTTTGTAAACTACAACAAAGCCTTTAACTGCATCAATCATGAAAAGCTATGGTTTGTTATGAAAGAAAAAAAACAAGCTTGCCTCAGCACTTGTTTGTCTTGATGGCTAGCATATTGTGGACAGGAAGCCACTGTTAGGACATAATATGGAAACCGAATAGTTTCCTATAGGCTAGGGGTGTCGAACTCAATCAGAGAAGGGGCCAAAATCTAAAATCCAGCCTAAATCGTGGGCCGAATGGTTTACTGAACAGTCATAAACTGTCATTGTGATGGAAACGCAGCGGAGTGCAGTGATGACAGCGCTGTGCGGGCCACATTGCAAGGCCTGGCCGGACAGATTTGGCCCGCGGGCCTTGTGTTTGACACATGTGCTATAGGCAAAGGAGTCAGACAGGCTACATTTTGTCTCCCTATTTGTTTAACCTCTATGCAGAACCTATACTAAAAACTAAGATAGAGTCAGAGGAAGGAGGAGTGAAATCAGTGAAGAAATACCAATAACTTAAGATACTGCAGACAGAATAATCTTACTGGCAGGAAGTAGCAATGATTTGAAACAACTGCTGGTGAAGGAATAAAAAACAGAATAAAGTACTTAAGCATGATTCCATTAAAACAAAAATTGTTCACTACAAAAGAAATACAGAACTTTAACAAAATAATGTTCTACAAGTCTCAGCATGTTTTCATGACTCCATCTCACCTTCCACTCCACCCTATACTTTGCAGCATACACACACACAAACACACACAAACACACACACACACACACACACACACACACACACACACAGTTGTTCTCATAATAAGTATTGACCTAATATTAAAAAGTAAATACATATAGCAAAGATTATTCATATATGTTGGATTCTGCTACATGGAGTATAAGAAACTAAAGAAAAGGCTTATATACCAATAAGATTTTGGCTGTGCTTCCTGGGCCAAAGATTTTGCATTGAATATAGAAGTTTTTGAACTATCAATTTTCCTATTTGCAACTGTAGAGGTCCTAACTTATGTCCTGGAAGCTCTGCCATGTATATTTGAATCTATAATTGGAGTGATTAAATCTTTGACAACAGCTTTAATCTCTTACAACAGGTGCTGTCTCACACATATTGAGTCTTCTCTTGAGTTTAACATAGACTTCACTTAACTTAAACACTCACCAGCTATTCCTAATTTAGTCCCTACCTGAAATCCATGACTTTCTTGATATCTATCATGCCATCTTGTGAACTCAATCAACTCCGTTGCAAGCATAGGGCATAAACAATCTAATGAAACTGTGTGGACTCAGCCCCTGTAAAATTATGTTTTTCATTTCATATAAGCTCTCACTGTTGTTCAGCAATATTACTGTTCTAAGATTATTGATTCTCTATAACATTGCTCTCAATAAGTATTCCTGACACTTCCAACTCTCTTGAAAATCGAATCTTCCCATCTCTGCACTTCAGTGTTATCATCAGAATTTATTTTAATTGTGAGATTCTTCTCCACATTACTCCTTAATTCTACTATTCTTCCAATTTATCCAAGCATGAAATTCTGGAATAATGGTTTGTTTTGACTCTTAACTCTTCCTATAAAATATAAAATTCATTGATCCATCTCCCATTTAATAACAGTATAGGCTCTCTACTTCTTTTATCACAAAATTCAAACTTATTGTCCTGCTGTTCAAGGTCTTCCCTCAAAGTTCTTTTCCCAACCTTTATAGATCACTGCTCGTCTGACCAAACTTAATCTACCTGCCTCCCTCTCTTCAAAATTGCCTTGATATTTCCAGTCTTTGGGATATTTACTTACCCCCCTTTGCCACACACACACACACACACACACACACACACACAACTCACCTGTTCCATCTTTAAATACCAGCCTAGAGAAACTGTTTTATTAGAACCTTAACTGAAAAACCCATCTTTCCAACAACAGTATCTAAGAACTTTCTGTCCCAGAGATACAAAGTGAACTTCTAAATTACTTTACTAGAAAATGGCAAGGCCTGCCTGAGACTGAGTTCTCCTGGTCTCTAGTGAGCTTTCATCATTCAATGCTGTCACATGATAGTTTCTCCAATCCTTTCAGGCCTCTTTTTTTAATTGATGTAGAAACGTGAAACACACAGAATGTTTAATTATGAGTATTTGTTAATTTTGGTCTGAATTTTTTCTCTGATTTTCAATATTTTGTTAAACATTATTGTCATAAAATATTGATTATCATAGTACATATTTAATAAGTCCCAAATTCCTATCCAAAATGATAATTCCATTATCCTATAGGTAAATTATTAAATCATTTTAATAATGTTATTGCATTATGTGTATACCTATTTGGCTGTTTGCTTCTAGTCAGCCAGTGGTTCTGTTCGTTTTCTCAATTGACTTGTCATTTTTCAATTCTAAGGAGTTTATATGGAGTAATTTATTATTGGATATGCTCTTTTCTGTTTATTTATGCTAATATGTAACAGATAAGGAATTATTCCAGTTTTAATCTTTGATAAACCAAGAAAGTTCTCAGTTATCCTTTGTATCTTTTGGATGCTTCCAGTTGCAAGCAATAGAAAGCCCAACGCAGATGGATTTGAACAACAAGGAAATGTATTGGCTCTCATGACAGAAAGTAGATCTTTAAATTGGTTCACCGAGTGTCTCAAATAT